CCAGAGTCCCCTTCTCTGCAGCCCATTACCAAAGAGATAACTGGGGGTATGGAGGTATCCCCAGGGCGAAGGATAGGTGGGGCAGGGAGGCTAATATTGAGATGGGATTTTAAGACTAGAGGGTTCTTTCCTGAGGTCAGCCCCTGCCTCCAGGTGGATCAGAAGGGGCATATCAAAGGTCAAAGCTTTTGCCACAATCCCAGGGTAGATGTTACTAGCCAAGGCTGCCGAGCGTTCAGGGGCTTAAGAGGATACACACGGAAATGGTAAGATGTCAGGTGCTCCAAGATCCAGAAAAGTAATAGAGAACCACCTATATTAGAGGAAAGAGTGGAACAGAGCAGACATGTAAAGAGAGGGTAAGTATTCACAGCAAAATGAGGGAGAAGAATGAAGCAGGACGAGGGAGTTTTGAGAACTGATGGTTATAAATTGATGCTTACTGGTTTCTCCAAGTAGAGCAATCAAGGATGAAAAAGTGATTGTGATAAAGAACTTCTAGCAGAAAGGCAAGAATGGGTCCAGCTGAAGAATGAGTTATTAAGATGGCAGGAGGAGGAGGAGAGTCTTACAAGGCACTAGGAGAGGGCGAAGAGAGAATGGACAGTGAAGAGAGTGGAGGATAGAGGCAGACTTCTTACGAGGCTCATGAAGATAAGTGGGGTAAAGAGAAGTAACTGGAAAAGTAATGACCAAGAATTTCCCAGGACTAAACAAACAATTTTGATACTAAAGAAAGACCTGAGGGCAGAGGGCACTGGACTGTAAACACTCCCGTTGGATGTCACACTGGAGCGGGGCACAGTAGAGTTTAAGCACCAAAGGAAGTCAAAGCTTCCAAGGAGAAAAAGTAGACCGCTTTCAAAGGCCCAACAAGAGCCAGACCCTCAGCAGCTTCCCCAGAAAAGACCCCTGGGAGAAATTAGCAAAGGACAAGCAACTTCCAAGTGTTAAAAACTGGGACTTTATCCAGGTCCACTATTATTTGCTTGTAAATGTGAGATAAAAGGTCATGTAAGATCAGAGACAGATCATTCTCCGCACAGACTCTCTTAAATGAAGTCTTTCAAGCTAAGACTTCCGCTAAGAAGAAAATGAGTTCAGTAGAAAGAGCATTAGTGTGTCTTGTGGTTTAAATAGGCAACCATCACATTAAAAAAACAAAAAAACTGTTAAGTTGAACTTGGCCCTTCAGTGGCCACACACAGGTCTCTGCCTCTCACCCACCCCTGGCCCACCCAGGCCTCACAACTTCACGATCTGGACGTCTCTCTAGGTTTTTACTTCCCTTTCGATTTTTGTCCCGTCTTTCTACTGGCTGCGTGATCTTACTTGATAACTGGTGCCAGGGGCCCAAAAGTCTCTTCATGAGCACAAAGCATGTCCTGGGAGACGTTGCTGAGCAGGGTGGGCTCGAAGAAGTTCTGTCCAAGCTGGTGTGGTTTCCCACCTGTCACGATGGTGGCTCCCTTGGAAACGGCATCACTCACGTGTTTCTCTACCTGCACGAAGAGAACAAGGAGAGCCCGTAGGTAGGGATGCAGGCTGAAGGCAGTAGTGGAATGACAGCAGGTCGTGGGTGTTTATACTGCAGAAAGCTATAACTGGGGTTTTTCTTTTTTTTTTT